ATTTCGGTTTCAGTTTTTGGGTCTGTTTCAATTTTTATTTATGTTTCTAATTCTGCTTCTGTTTTTGTTTTTGTTTCTCTTTATGTATATGTTTCTCGTACTGTTTCTGTTTTTGTTTTTGTTTTTGTTTCTGGTTCTGTTTCTGGCTCTGTTTCTGTTTCTGTTTTTATTTCTGATTTTGTTTTGTTTTTCTTTCTGTTTCTATTTCTGATTCTGGTTCTCTTTCTGTTACTGAATGTTTTTGTTTCTGGTTCTTTTTCTTGTTCTTTTTCTGATTCTGGTTCTATTTCTGGTACTGTTTCTGTTTTGGTTCTGTTTTGGGTTCTGTTTCCGGCTCTATTTCTGCTTCTAATCCTGTTTCTGGTTCTGTTTATGTTTCTGGTTCAGTTTCTGGTTCTGTTTTCGGCCCTAATTATGGTGCTATTTCTGTTTCTGTTTATGTTTTTGTTTATGTATATGTTTCAGTTTCTCTTTTTGTTTCTTTTTCTTATTATGTTTATGTTTCTGGTTCTGTTTCTGTTTCTATTTCTGTTTTTGTTATTATTTATGTTTCTGTTTGTGTTCCTGTTTATGTTTCTGGTTCTTTTTCTGTTTCTGGTTGTTTTTTGGTTTGCTTCTGTTCCAGGTTCTGTTTTTCATTATGGTTCTGGTTCCTTTTCTCTTTATATTTCGGTTTCAGTTTTTTTAATGGTTCTGTTTCTGTTTCTGATTCTTGATCTTTTTCGGGTTCTGATCCTGTTTCTGGTTCTGTTTCTGTTTTTGTTTCTTTTTCTAGTTTTGTTTCTAGTTCAGTTTCAGTTTCAGTTTCAGGTTCTGTTTCTGTTTCTGTTTCTAATCCTGTTTCTGGTTATGTTGCTGTTTCTGGTTCTGTTTCTGTTTCTGTTTCCGCGCGTATTTATGGTTCTATTTCTGTTTCTGTGTATGTTTTTGTTTATGTATATGTTTCAGTTTTAGTTTCTGTTTTTGTTTCTGTTTCTCTTTCTGTTTTTTTTCTGGTTCTGTTTCTGTTTCTATTTCTGTTTTTGTTATTATTTCTGTTTCTGTTTGTGTTCCTGTTCATGTTTCTGCTTCTTTTCCTGTTTCTTGTTGTTTTTTGATTTGCTTCTGTTTCTGGTTCTGTTTCTCATTCTGGTTCTGGTTCCGTTTCTATTTATATTTCGGTTGCAGTTTTTTTTAATGGTTCTGTTTCTGTTTTTGTTTTTGTTTCTGTCTCTGATTCTCGTTCTTTTTCGGGTTCTGTTTCTGTTTCTGTTTCTGTTTTTGTTTCTGTTTCTGGTTCTGTTTCTAGTTCAGTTTCTGTTTCTGGTTCTGTTTCTGTTTCTGATTCTATTTGTGTTTTGTTTTTGTTTCTGTTTTTGTTTCTGTTTATGGTTCTGTTTATGTTTCTGTTTCTGTTTCTAATTCTGCTTTTGTTTTTGTTTCTGATTCTTTTTCTGTTTATGGTTCAGTTCTGGTTCTGTTATGTCTCCATTTCTGGTTCTGTTTCTGTTTCTATTTATATTTTTGTTTATGTATATGTTTCAGTTTCTCTTTCTCTTAAGTATCTGCTTCTTTTTCCGTTTCTGTTTTAGTTTCTAATTCTGTTTCTAATTCTGTTTCTGTTTCTGTTTATGTATCTGTTTTCGTTCTGTTTCTGTTTTTGATTTGTTTTTGTCTCTGTTTCTGTTTCTGGCTCTTTTTCTGTTTCTGTTTTTATTTCTGATTTTGTTTTTGTTTTTCTTTCTGTTTCTATTTCTGATTCTGGTTCTCTTTCTGTTACTGAATGTTGCTGGTTCTGGCTCTGTTTCTTGTTTGGTTTCTAATTCTAGTTCTGGTTCAGATTTTGTTTCTGATTCTGGTTCTATTTCTGGTACTGTTTCTGTTTTGGTTCTGTTTTGGGTTCTGTTTCCGGCTCTATTTCTGATTCTGTTTCTGTTTCTATTTCTGCTTCTACTCCTGTTTCTGGTTTTGTTTATGTTTCTGGTTCAGTTTCTGGTTCAGTTTCTGGTTCTGTTTTCAGCCCTATTTATGGTGCTATTTCTGTTTCTGTTTATGTTTTTGTTTATGTATATGTTTCAGTTTCAGTTTCTCTTTTTCTTTCTTTTACTCATTATGTTTATGTTTCTGGTTCTTTTTCTGTTTCTGGTTGTTTTTTGGTTTGCTTCTGTTTCAGGTTCTGTTTCTCATTCTGGTTCTGGTTCCGTTTCTCTTTATATTTCGGTTTCAGTTTTTGGGTCTGTTTCAATTTTTATTTATGTTTCTAATTCTGCTTCTGTTTTTGTTT